GGTTGGCAGAACCTGGGACTAACACTGGGAGCTCACCTTGCTCCCTGGATTCAAACCACTGACTTTTCGGTCAGCAAGTTCAGCAACTCAGTGGTTTATCCCAATGTGCCACTGGGGGCTCCCATACTATCTCTAGATAATCCCTATTATAACTCTCTTGGTGAAATTATCATATGTTGCAAAGCAATTATACTCTGAAAAACCATGCTTTTTGAGGCCACGGGGAACATGAGATTAAATAATGTTGTTTGAGCCCCAGTCATTCATACCTTGGCCCTCAGAGCTTTCAAGCAAAGCAAGTCATATACCTCTGCATGGATTTTAATTATTATTATTTATTTTGGACATTTATAACCCGTCCTATCTTGACTTCTGAAGCTAACAACGGACACACCATAGTGCCCATAGCCAAAAGCATAAATATACAATTTAAATAAAACAATATAAAACAGTATAAAAACATTGCAACAGTCAAACAGTCATTGATTTAAGTCATCATCCTAAAAGCACATTTTAGGAGCCAAATCATACAAAATGACCATCTGTGTTAGTCTTCTCAGCAGATTACACAATTTGTTCATATGTCAAGATACCAGCAAAACAAAAAGTGAAGCAAAGCACTTTATGGCAGGTATTGTAAACATGAGGTTATTTGAGCCTTACATAGGGGCAAAGGAATATAAATCTACATTAATATAAATAAATATATCAATAAAAGAATTGGCCACCAATCCTGTATACTGGACACATTGAGATGATGTGGCAACATGTTATTTGGAAAGACTTTCAAGAACATAGTAACTACTGTCATTAAGATCTCCAGTCAGTTTGGTCATATTGAAGGTACAGACAAAAAAGGACAGGTCAGAACCTGTTCCTTGCAAATGTTAAAAACAGTGTGATTCATCATCCGTTCTGGAAAACAAGAAAAACAGGGAAACTGCAATAGAAGCATGTGCTTAGTACAGATTAAGTGTCCGTTATCTAAAACGCTTGAAGCCACAAGTGTTTTGCACCTTTTGGAGAAATGAAAGTGATTGTGTCTGTTACTGTTACCAGACTGGTATTTTTTAGTAAATTTTCATTGTGTTGATTCAATGTTTTAACTATATATAATTATTGGTTCTGCTATGTATTTTATTATGTGTACATAGAGGCATCGACTCAGCCACCCTGAGTCCCCCCCTCAGGGGGTTGAAAAAGGTAGGGTACAAATATTCGAAATAAATAAATAAATAAATAAATAAATACTGTCTGTTTTGATTGCATACTGAAAGTCGTGTGGGAAGAACAAACCACAGACCACTTACTACAATGCAACTTGAACCCTACTACATGCACAATGGGAGACCTTCTTACATCGACACCAGAGGAACGCAAAGTGGCCAGCTTCTGGTCAAAGGAAATTTACCATAATATCAAGTTTTTAACTTTATTTGTGGTTTTTTAAATGTATTATAATTGTATTTTCAATTCAGTTCTGACACAATAAATAAATAAATACTGTCTCTTTTTTTCTTTTCCTGCCACAACTTTGAAACTGCTCAGCTAGCAACCAACCTAAGTTTTGAATAAGTGGCAGAAAATGTGTTTTGCCAACCCTGGTCCTGGATGCTGTCTTTGGAGCCTGCTCGTACAGCAGTGTCCTAGGGGTTAGGACTATAAGACTATCACCTCAATTTTCTAGCCAAAACAGAAAAAAATGCAATATCAGCCATTATAAAAAAAAAGCAACAAAACCACCAATGCATGCTGACAAAATCGTGATTCAAAGCCTCATAGTGGCTGAATAATGATGGGCATCAGAGGGCATGCATACCATTACAATTGAGTACAGAGTGTTATAGCCTTGTAGGTATAGTGCAGTGGTTCTCAACCTATGGGTCCCCAGATGTTTTGGCCTTCAACTCCCAGAAATCCTAACATCTGGTAAACTGGCTGGGATTTCTGGGAGTTGTGGGCCAAAACACCTGGGGACCCACACGTTGAGAACTACTGGATAGTGATACAGTACATGTCAGATAGAGTAAGAAAAATCTGTCTGTGATTAGGCCTAACAAAAGGAATATTTTAAAAATAAGAACAATTCATTTCATAGTATTACAGCATTGGAAAATATTACAAGAATTATCCTGTGGAGCCATGGTGGCATAATGGGTTAAACACTCATGCTGGCTGAACTGCTGACCTAAAGGTCAGCGGTTTAATCCAGGAGACAGGGTGAGCTCCCATCTGTCAGCCCCAGCTTCCCTTGCAGGGACACGAGAGAAGCCTCCCACAAGGATGGTAAAACATCAGAGTGTCCGCTGGGTTATGTCCTTGCAGATGGCCAATTCTCTCACACCAGAAGTGACTTGCAGTTTCTTAAGTCGCTTCTGACACGATAAAAAAAATCCTAACTTGCTGCCATGTTGAAATACTGCACTAAACATTTGTACTCATTTTGAAGTCACCCCCTTTAAGACTGTCACCTGGTGTGGTCCTCACCTCCTGCACCCTCTTAGTGACACTACTGCCATCATCATCTCCTCTGCTCAAGTACTACTTTATGTTCAAGGCATGTGAAGAAAGAGAACAGTAGACAGTAGGAAATAGACAGTGTGTGCCTCATACTAAGGATCACCTTAAAACCTATTAAGAATTAGCAAGGACAGGACCACATCAGGTTGACCATATTCAGTGTCAGCATAGATGTCCCCAACAATACCTTCATCTCAAAACATGCCTTTATGGGAGGTTTCCCTTTAGGAGACGTCAAGCAGTTGCAGTTTTCAGGTCCACTCCATCCCTTGAACTCAAGAAACACCAGGAGATTTGTGCTTGGTCAGGTCACTATATCAGTGCAAATGAAGTTGCAATTTTTTTTTACCTTTTCTTGCTCTTTGTCCCTGGCCTCCACATGGCCAAGAAGGGAAATGGCCTCTGCCAACACTGAGATATGTCCAGACTATAAATGTGACTCTAACACAGGCATGGGCAAACTTGGGCCCTCCAGGTGTTTTGGACTTCAACTCCCACAATTCCTAACAGCCTCAAGCCTTTTCCTGAGGGAGAAAAGGAAGGGGCCTGAGGATGTTAGGAATTGTGGGAGCTGAAGTCCAAAACACCTGGAGGGCCCAAGTTTGCCCATGTCTACTCTAACATGATCACTTTCTTCAGTATGATTTTTAACATTGCCTCCTGGTGAAGATTTGAAAGCTTGTAGTAAGTACTGTATTTTGTGTTCTTGGAGATCCGCTATCACTGTTTTGTGGATTTTTATCCTCGCTGTGGCCCTCCCTTTAAGTCATTTTTTGAACTGTGCTTCCTGGCTCTAACCAGGTTTGCCCATCTTTTCTCTTTACACCACACCACTTTTTAGACAGGTTCTTGTGTTTTGAATAGCTGTGCATTATGCTTATGGTGGCGCAGTAGGTTAAACAACTGAGCTACTGAACTTGGAGACATAGTGAGCTCCCACTGTTAGGCCCAGCTTCTGCCAACCGAGCAGTTTGAAAACATGCAAATATGAGTAGTTCAATAGGTACCGCTCTGGCAGGGAGGTAATGGTGCTCCATGCAATCATGCTGGTCACATGATGTTGGAGGCGTCTATGAACAAGGCTGGCTCTTCGGCTTTGAAATTGAGATTAGCACCACCCCCCAGAGTCAGACATGACTAGACTTAATGTCAGGGGAAACATTTACTTTTACTTTTTATACTTTCTTTTCTACAGCCATAAGTGATGATGCACAGAAGATACTTGACATCAGAAAGCTATTTTAAGATGTATAAGGACAGTTACAACAAATATTGGAAATGTGGGCACAATGTTAGGATTTTAGCCTATGTAGTGGTCTTGTGAAAATGGCCATATAGGAGATATAGGATAAAATGTCTCAGGTGATTTTCTGTAAAATACCTTTTTTTACATTTTATGCATTTAACAATCTTATGTACAAAGAAACTATTGCATTTCTACAGCAGTAAATAAGTACTTTTTTAAATGTTGTTAAAAGCATGAAGAATGCAGATTTCACTTAAATTATTGTGCTCACAGGAAAAAAAATAAAAACCAGCTCCAGCTGTGGCATCATCTCTTAAGCCAGTGTTTCTCAACCAGGGGGTTGGGATCCATGGGGGGGGGGGTCATGAGGGGGTGCCAGAAGGGTCGCCAAAGACCATTAGAAAACACAGTATTTTCTGTTGGTCATGGGGGTTCTGTGTGGGAAGTTTGGCCCAATTCCATCATTGGTGGGGTTCAGAATGCACTTTAGTTGCAGATGAACTATAAATCCCAGCAACGACAACTCCCAGATATCAAGGTCTATTTTCCCCCAAACTCCACCGGTGTTCACACTTGGGCGTATTGAGTATTCATGCCAAGTTTGCTCCATCATTGTTTGAGTCCACAGTGCTCTCTGGAGGTAGGTGAACTACAACTCCAGAACTCAAGGTCAATCCCTACCAAATCCTTCCAGTATTTTCTGTTGGTCATGGAAGTCCTGTGTGTCAGTTTTCATTCAATTCCATCATTGGAGTTCAGAATGCTCTTTGTTTATAGGTGAACTATAAATCCCAGAAATTTTGCCAAATGGCAAAATCAATCCCCCCCCCCCCCAACCCCATCAGTATTGAAATTTGGACTTATCAGGTATTTGTGCCAAATTTGGTCCAGTGAAGGAAAATACATCCTGCATATTAGATATTTACATTACAATTCACAACAGTAGCAAAATTAAAGTTATAAAGTAGCAACGAAAATAATGTTATGATTGGGGGTCATCACAACATGTGGAACTATATTGAGAGATTGCAGCATTAGAAAGGTTGAGAACCACTATCTTAAGCAAACCGGCTCATATACCCATTGCATTGCTGGACAAGGCCATGCATATAAAGGTACACAGGCAGAAATAATAGTGGAACCAAAATAAACACCATTTTAAAAAGTAGCAAGTCACTGGAGCTTTCGCCTATTTATTCTTAACTGTTCTTTACTAAAATAAATTGACACAGAATCAAAGGGATTTTTTTTACTTGAACAAAATACACACCAGACCTCATATTGCAATATATTATGTGTTCGTGACACATATGGTACAACAAGCTTATCAACATACTAAAAAACAAAACAGAACAGAAAACTAACTTTAATGAGCAACATGGATTCACTAGACCACAAACTAAAAGCCTGGTGGGACACAGAAAAAATAGCTCATATACACACTGTGCTGTTCAATAAACATCTCAGACTGGATGGGCATCCAAATCGCCATTCAGTATTGGTAAGCAAGCAATGGCTACAGAGCTGTTGGAGGGAGGATATATTTCCACATTCCCAGAAGTGTATCTTGGATTAAACAATCTGTAAAAGGTTGTATTCCTTGCAAACAAAGGGAAAATGCAGGTTCAACCACAGCAAAGGTAGAATGTGATGCTGGAGAAAATCATTCCAGGTGACTGATTTAGTTCCTGCTGACAGGTTTATGGGTGCCGTGCTCATGGGCATCAACCATTGCATCCATGAATCTGCTAAAGATGAATGCCATAGTCGTGGCCAACACAATGATGGAAACGATGAGGGACACAATGGCCATGGAAACTGCAAAAACGTTCAGGCACCTGGCTGTCCTGCCATGCTCTTCTGCACCTTCAGCATCTCCTATCACTTTAGCGTCCCTTGACTGAAGGAAGGGGAGAGAAGGAGAAAAAAATAGTATTTAACAAATTTAAAAGAGCAGAGGAAACATATTTACCCATCTTATTTTACAAAACAGAACAAGTAAGAAAAACAGGTAAACAGGTTGAGCATTCCTTATCCAAAATACTTAGGACCAGATGTGTTTTGGGATCTGGATTTTCCTCCAGGATTTTGGAGTGCCTCTATTTGCATGTATGGGACATAATGAGATATCTTGAAGATGAACCCAACTTTTCCTTTATGATTCATCTATATCTTACGCACGCAACCTGAAGTTGATTTGGGGCAGTAGTTTTGTGCAAGAAATAAAGTTTGTTTTGTTTCAGAAAGCAAAGGCAACCTATCTCTGGCACCCATGTGAACAAATCTGGATTTTGAAGGTTTCGGGACACTCAACCTGTACCATCACTTATGGCTGCTTCTACACTGTAAAATTAACACTGTTTGACACCAATTTGGTGACCATGTCTCAATGCAATTGAATCATGGGAGTTGCAGTTTGGTAAGGCAACAGCTAATTTTGACAGAGGTGGCTAAAGGTCTTGCAAAACTACGACTCCTGCAATTCTTTAGCATTGAGGCTAGACAGTTCAAGTGGTGTCAAATTGCATTGATTCTACAGAGTAAATGCACACTGTTACCTAATTTCTTTTGAACTTTTGCAAACTACCTTGCATTCCATTTTTGGGCAAAAGGTTAGCAATGCATTCAACTAAGTCAATAAAATAAAGGGCTATGTGTAACCACCATTCTTTGGCTGTAAGGGGAGGAGAAGGGAGCATCTACGCTGTAGAATGAATGTGGCTTGACCCCACTTTATCTGCCATGGCTCAGTACTGTGGAATCCTGGGAGTTTCAGTTTTACAAGACCTTTAGTGTCGTGTTTTATAAGGTGTACAGCCTTCTCTGCGCAAGAGTGTGTGTGCCTCACCTAACTACAAATCCCATGATTCCATTGCCTGTTGTCCCTCATTTGGACTACCTTAAGTCATAAACTTATTGAGTTGGAAGAGACCTTGTGGGCCATCCAGTTCCACCCTCTGCTAAGAAGCAGGAAAATTGCATTCAAAGCGACCCTAACAGATAGCCACCCAACCTCTGTTTAAAAGCCTCCAAAGAAGGAGCCTCCACCACACTCCAGGGCAGAGAGTTCCACTGCTGAACAGTTCTCACAGTCTGGAAGTTCTTCCTCATATTCAGGTGGAATCTCCTTTCCTGTAGTTTGAAGCCATTGTTCCATTGCGTCTTAGTCTCCAGGGCAGCAGAAAACAAGACTGCTCCCCCCTCTCTATGACTTCCCCTCACATATTTATACATGGCTCTCATCATGTCTCCTCTCAACCTTCTCTTCTCAAGGCTAAACATGCCCAGCTCTTTCAGCCACTCCTCATAGGGCTTGTTCTCCAGGCCCCTGATCACCCTCCTCTGGACACATTCCCAGCTTGTCAACACCTCTCTTAAACTGTGGTACCCAGAACTGGACACAGTATTCCAGGTGTGGTCTGACCGAGGCAGAGTAGATGGCTTCCCTGGATCTAGACACTATACTCCTATTTATGCAGGCCAAAATCCCATTAGCTTTTTTAGCTGCTGCATGACATTCCTGGATCATGTTTAACTTGTTGTCTATGAGGACTCTAAGATCGTTTTCACAGATACTACTGTCAAGCCAGGCATCCCTCATTCTGTAGCTTTGCATTTCATTTTTAATGCCTAAGTGGAGTATCTTGCATTTGTCCCTGTTGAACTTCATTTTGTTAGTCTAATCCAGCATTTCTCAACCTGGGGTGTAGTGAGGGGGGTGTCAGAAGGGTCGCCAAAGATGCACCCTGATAGCCTGATTCCTTGTTGAACTTTTCCACCCCACGTTTGGGAGGAAGGGGGGCTGGACATCCCATGAGGCCAAGAGAAGGAAGTGCTAGGGGTGCGAGGAGGGGGCCAGGAGAGGCTGCTTCCAAGGGCGAGAGGGGCGCTGGCTCACCTTGATGGAGAAGACCAGGGCGGCCAGGCCGAGGCAGCAGCAGTTGGCGTAGGAGAAGGTGATGAATGAGCAGACCAGGTAGTCTCGGGGCATCCGGTGGACGGGCAAGAGGGCGGCCCCGGGGTAGCGGTAGTAAGGCCCATCCCCGCCCACGCCCTCCGGCCCCGGCCCCTTGCCCTCCGGCGCCTTGCCCTCCGGCCCCTTGCCCTCGGGCGCCTTGCCCTCGGGCCCCTTGGCCTCCGGCCCCTTGCCCTCCGGCCCCTTGGCCTCGGGCCCCTTGCCCCCCAGCCCCTTGGCCTCGGCGGGCGGCTTCCTTTCGGCCTGGGCTTGCATCTTTCCCCGACCTTTCTTCCGGACGCGAGCCAGGCGCCAACCGACCCAACGGTCGGGGACCCTCCGCGGGCGCCCCTTCTCTTCTGTTCTGTCCCTTCGGGAGCCAAGGGAGCGGCCCATCCCTTTTACTGGGGCTGAGGAAAGAGGGCCGCTCCCTTCCCGGACTCCTCTCCTCCCCGAAAGCGGCCCCTTTTCCAAACCCTCATCTAGAATGAAGGCCCCGCTGGAACTCGCCCTGGCTCCATACTGTGCACAGGCTCCTAGGAGTTGTGGTTTAGGGAGGCGTGGCCACCCTTGGGACACAACTCCCAGGATACCATACATTGAGCCAGAGCTACCTCATCACACTGGAGCATGGATCCACTTTGAATCCGGTTGCTGCCTCCTCCCGCAGAATTCTGGGGTTTGTAGTTTAGGGGGGGGGCGCCTTTAACAGCCCCACTACACTACAAATCCCAGAATTCTGCAGGAGGCAGAAACTGGAATTAAAGCGGATCCATGCCGTAGTGCAGCGGTTCTCAACCTTCTTAATGTCGCGACCCCTTAATACACTTCCTCATCTTGTGGAGAGCCCCCCAACCATAAAGTTATTTTCGTTGCTACTTCATAACTAACTGCCATTTTGCAGCTGTTATTAATCCTAATGTAAATATCTGATTGGCACAATGTATTTTCATTCACTGGACCAAATTTGGCACAATACACGATACACCCACATTTAAATACTGGTGGGGGTGATTTTGTCATTTCAGAGTGGTGATTACTGGGATTTATAGTTCACCTACAATCAAAGAGTATTCTGAACTCCACCAACGATGGAATTGAACCAAACTTGGCACACAGAACTCCCATGACCAACAGAAAACAAAACTGGAAAGGTTTGGTGGGCATTGACCTTGAGTTTGGGAGTTGGGGTTCACCTACATCCAGAGAGCACTGTGGACTCAAACAATGATGGATCTGGACCAAACTTGGCACGAATACTCAATATGTCCAAATATGAACACTGGTGGAGTTGGGGGAAAATAGACCTTGACATTTGGGAGTTGTAGTTGCTGGGATTTATAGTTCACCTACAACCAAAGAGCACTCTGAACCCAGCCCACAATGGATCTGCACCAAACTTGGCACACTACCTACAAGTGGCCAACATTGAATACTGGTGGGGTTGGAGGCTGTTTCTGAATTCTGAGAGTTGTAGTTCACCAACACCAAAAAGGAAGAGAAGGTCAGGCGGAGAGATCTTCAGCCTTCTCTGCCAAAGGAGTTCGTAAGACCATCAGAAATGTGTGTTTTCTGATGGCCTTTGGAAACCCCTCTGAAACCCCCCTCATGACCTCCTGAGGGGTCCCGACCCCCAGGTTGAGAAACAATCGGCTAGAACCCTTGAGCTGCAACTCCCAGGATACCATTGAGGCAGGTCTACCTCATCCCACTAAAGCGTGGATCCACTTCAAATCCGCTTGCTGTCTTCTGCAGATTTCTGGAGTTTGTAGTTTAGGGAGGAGCCTTTAACAGCCTCATTAAACTACAAACCCCAGAATTCTGCAGGAGACAGAGACTGGATTTAAAGTGGATCCATGCTGTAGTGCAGTGGTTCTCAACCTGTGGGTCCCCAGATGTTTTGGCCTACAACTTCCAGAAATCCCAGCCAATTTACCAGATGTTAGGATTTCTGGGAGTTGAAGGCCAAAACATCTGGGGACCCACAGGTTGAGAACCACTGTGAGTCTAGTGTGATGAGGAAAGTTAAATTATCAAATACTACACCAATCTGACTTTTTCCAATTTTTTTTATCATAACGTTAAATTATAAAACTCTGTAAAAAAAAAGTTGCATACCTTGCAAACAAAGGGAAAGTGCAGGTACGCCCACAGCACAAGGAAGAATGGGATGCTGGGAAAAATCATTCCAGGTGACTGATTTAGTTGCTGCTGAAAGATTTCCGGGAACTTTGCTCATGGGCATCAGCCATTACATCCTGGAATCTGTTGTAGACGTATGCCATGCTAGTGGCCAACACAATGATGGAAATGACAATGGACAAAATGCCCAGGGTCAGCGCCAGAACATTCAGGCACCGGGCTGTCTTGCCATGCTCTTCTGCACTTTCCACATCTCCTAGCACTTTAGCGTCCCTTGACTTCAGGGGAGACGGGGAGAGAAAAGAGTATTGGACAAAGAAATTATAGGAGTCAAGGAAACAGCTTTATCCATCTTTGAACACCTAACTCTCAAACTGATTAATTCAGAGCTCTGCTAGTATGGTGTTTGCTGAATTCACAAGGTATATATAAAAAGAACAAGAAGCAGAGCCTGCCATGGCAAGCATTACAAAGATATGTAGGTCACCCCACTCCTGTAAAACAGAGAAACAAAGCCTCTGCAGATGCCTGCCATAGATATGCGTGAAACGTCAGGAGAGAATGCTTCTGGAACATGGCCATACAGCCCAGAAAACTCACAACAACCCAGTGATTCCGGCCATGAAAGCCTACAACAATACAGATAAACAGAACACTTTAAATCCAGTTTCTGCCTCCTGCAGAATTCTGGGGTTTGAAGGTTAGAGAGGAGCAGAAACTGGATCTAAAGTGGATTCATTCCCTAGTGTGATGAGGTCCTACGAATGTCAGGGGAACAGGCAGAACAGCATTCCTTATCCGAAATGCTTAGGACCAGAACTATTTTGGAACTTGGGTTTTCCCTCCTGGATATTGGAGTGTCTCTATTTGCATATATGGACATTGTTTATTTATTTATTTATTTATCGTATCAGAAGCAAACCCCCACAATTCCTAACAGACTCAAGCCCTTTCCTTTTCCCCTTTTCTGCTTAAGTGATTGAGGGGGGAAAAAAGAAAGGGCCTGAGGTTGCTAGGAATGGTGCAAGTTGGAGTCCAAGACACCTGGAGGGCCCAGGTTTGCCCATGCCTGATCTGTTTACAACTCCTCTGCTGCGCCAGCTCCACTGGCTGCCAGTTTGCTACTGGGCACAATTCAAAGTGCTGGCTTTATCCTATAAAGCCCTAAACCAAGGGTCCTCAAACTAAGGCCCGAGGGCCGGATATGGCCCTCCAAGGTCATTTATCCAGCCCTCACTCAGGGTCAACCTTAGTCTGAAATGACTTGAAAGCACAGAACAATATCAACAATCTTATCTCATCAGCCAAAAACAAGTCCAAAAACAACAACACTTCCAATTGAAATACTAAGAAGTTTATATTTGTTTAAATTGTTCTTCATTTTAATTATTGTATTGTTTTAAAGTATTTTTTGCACTATAAATATGTGCAGTGTGCATAGGAATTAATTCGTATTTTTTCAAATTATAATCCAGCCCTCCAATAGTTTGAGGGACTATGACCTGGCTCTCTGTTTAAAGAGTTTGAGGACCTGTGCCCTAAGCAGTTCTGGCTCAACTTATCTGTCCGAAAGCATCTCTCCTTATGAACTTTACAGAACTTTAAGATCGTCTGGGGAGGTCCTGCTTTCGATCCCGCCTTCGTCACAAGTACAGCTGGCAGGGACGAGAGACAGGGCCTTCTCAGTGGTGGCCCCTGGGCTATGGAACACCCTCCCTAGGGATATCAGCCCCCTCCCTTTTAACATTCTGGAAAAAAAGTCAAGACTTGGCTTTTTGAGTAGGCGTTTGCAAATACAATGTAACATAGGAAAATGGAACGACTGGAGGGTGTGATTGGACAATGTTTTTAACAAGGAACTTTTGCAAGCTAAGGGGAGATTCTGGCACACCACGTTTGGGAGAAAGGGTGGTTGTGCATCCAATGAAGCCCAGAAAAGAAAGGGCTAAGTCAGTGGCTCTCATCCTGTGGGTCCCCAGATGTTTTGGCCTTCAACTCCCAGAAATCCCAACAATAGCTGGGATTTCTGGAAGTTGAACAATGTTTTTAACACGGAACTTTTGCAAGCTGGGATTTCTGGGAGTTGTAGGCCAAAACACCTGGTGACCCGCAGGTCGAGACCCACTGGAAGCGAAGGGAGCCTCCCTTCCCAGGGTGCGAGGCGTGGAAGGGGCCCAGGGGCGCTCCTTGACCTTGATGGAGAAGACCAGGGCGGCCAGGCCGAGGCAGCAACAGTTGGCGTAGGAGAAGGAGACGAGGGACCAGAGCAGGTAGTCCGGGGGCAGCCTGCGGACGGACACCAGGGCGGCCCTCGGGTAAGGGTAGTAAGGCCCCACGCCCTCCGGCCCCTTGCCCTCGATGGGCGGCATCCCGTAGCCGTGGGAGTGCATCTTTCCCCGACCAAGGAGGCGGCGCCGCTCCTCCCGACGCGAGCCAGGCTGTGAGACAGGCGCAAACTGACCCAACGGTCGGGGACCCGTCTCTTCTGTTCTGTTGCCTCCGAAGCGGAGGGAGGGGCCCGTCCCCCTGAAGCGGGGTCTGAAGCGGGGAAGGAGGGCTGCTTCCCTCCCGGACCCCTCGCCTCCCCGAAAGCCGCCCTCCTTCCGAACCGCGAACTTGTGCGTGCGGCATCCAGAAGTGAGGGCAGCTTGCCCCCCTTTGAGCTTGCACATACTGTACGCAGGAGTTGTAGTTTGGGGAGGCGCTCGCAGCCTTGAGCAAGGACAAAGATAAATTAGAAAATAATAACAATAACAACAATAATAATGATGATGGGTTGTTGTAGGTTTTTCGGGCTGTATAGCCATGTTCTAGAAGCATTCTCTCCTGACGTTTTGCCTGCTTCTGTGGCAAGCATCCTCAGAGGTTGAGCGGTCTGTTGGAAACTAGGAAAATTGGGTTTATAAATCTGTGAAAAGTCTAGGGTGGGAAAAAGAACTCTTGTCTGTTGAAGCTAGGTGTGAATGTTTCAATTGGCCACCTTGATCAGCATTTGATGGCCTGACAGTTTGTAGGTGTGGCTTGTTACTGCCTGAGAGGTGATTAGGTGTTCCTGATTGTTTCTTCTCTGGAATTCCCGTGTTTGGGTTTTTTTATTTACTGTTATAATTTTAGAGGTTTTTTTTTAGTACTGATAGCCAGATTTTGTTCATTTTCATGGTTTCTTCCTTTCTGTTGAAATTGTCCACATGCTTGTGGATTTCAATGGCTTCTCTGTGTAGTCTGACATGGTGGTTGTTGGTGTGGTCCAGCATTTCTGTGTTCTCAAATAATATGCTGTGTCCAGGCTGGTTCATCAGGTGCTCTGCTGTGGCTGACTTCTCTGGCTGAAGTAGTCTGCAGTGCCTTTCATGTTCCTTGATTCGTGTTTGGGCAACGCTGCGTTTGGTGGTCCCTATGTAGACTTGTCCACAGCTGCATGGTACACGGTAGACTCCTGCAGAAATGAGGGGATCCCTCTTGTCCTTTGCTGAACATAGCA